ACCTCATTTCCAAAAATCTGTACCTCGGGCTCCATAGCACCTCTTTGCTCTATGCTCAAGTGTTTGGAGTCAGCACTGACTCAAAAAAGAGCCCCCCACGACTGACTCCCCGCTCTCCCTGTCCTGCAGCACAGCACCACCTAATCCCACGCTGGGCCACTGGGGTCAGTTCTGACTGGGATGGAAGAGCGCCCCCTACTGAGTCACCTGTTCAATTCAGCCATGCCCACCTGACCAATTTCTCTGCTTGCTTGTTCTGTGCAAACCTGCCCACACCCTGCAGATCTCAGAACTTGCCTAGTACATCAGGAAGAGGAAACTGCAGCAGGGCAGTTAAAACCCTGGTCTCTCATCACAGTTCCTTCCCCGTCCCTTTCCTTGGGCTGCGGGTGGAGAGAGCAATTTTCCCCTCCTTTATTCACAGTGAGGGTTGATCCTTTGCTAGGGAGCCATAAGACTGTTTTCCAGCACTGGAGAGTTGTGTGCTTTTGACTGGTAGAGTTTCAGGGCTGCTGGAGGTGCGGGGAAAGATTAAATAGATGGCTAAAAAGAGGAGAAAGAGACTGGTAGGAACATCCGGCTTTGGAGCCAACAGGTCCAGGGCGCAGGTTAAGCACAATCCTGCAGCGACTAATCCCAGGGAATGTACAGGGTGACCCATTTACCCAGTTACAGGATTAGCCCTGTTGTTTTCCATGTGCCACTCCCCAGCCAGGGTGTCCCTAGTCAGAGCTCCAGTAGCTCGAGCTATGTGGATACCAGAAGTATTTGGTGCTAAATGTGGTTTTAACATGCAGCTAGAGGCTGGTTATCCATGCTACCTAACATGGATGTAGGAGTAAGTCCGTGGTTAGGGGCACGTGAACTGGGCAAATCTTTTCCCAGCTCTCTGCTCCCTGATCTTTACCAGGCTTCTGATCTTTATAGATACAGGGCCTGCTTCTCAGTCACTTTGTTCCTGTATCTGGGGCTTCCCGACTTCTTTGTGCTCCTTGTATTCTTGGTCTGGGCAGAGGCCTACCTGGCCCCCAGTATAAATTGGAGTATGAGTTAGAGCAACATCAAGGCTGCTCCAAGTTGCTCTCTGATTCCTGGGGCCCCCGCGGAAGTAGAGAATAGCTACAGCACACTGCACAGTAGCTATGCCCCGATTCACTCTCTGTTCTGGGGGCTGGGAGCAGGACCCTCATCAGCTCCACTCTAATTGGAGGGCCCCTCCATGGGGAGATTTTCAAGGGGCCAGTTCTGGCATGAAGGCGCGTTAGCATAGCTGTGAATCCAGCCTCCTGGAGATAAAGTTAACGAGTAAGAGTCCCCTTTAAAATGAAAAGCAAGTCAGTCCCTGTGGCGCTGTTATGGATTCCATCTGCTGCCTTTAGAACCTAAAAATAAAACCAGGAGGCGGAACTTGACAGCTGTCTTCAAAGAACCGAGCGGCCACCGCGTGCGCGGGTCCGGCTCTCCTTGCCGTCAGTCGGGACTTCACCCGCGCCAGAATGCAGGGCTTAATTCACATCTGGTTCGGTGCTTGCTTTCAAAGCCTCATGATTCACCACCTTGGCAGGCAGCCCCGGATTCTGACGATCTATTTTGGGGGAATAACATTTCCACAGAAATTTTTGTTGTGTTTTGCAGTGTCACCTGTTTTTTTTAAAAGTAACTTGATCAGCACATTGAGGGAATGAATCAATCCAGAGCCTGGTAACCGTGTAGAACATTGCATGCGTAACCATCATCCATGCAACCCAGGTCCTGATTAGATCTTACAGGGGGGGCGTCCCTTTCGTTTTCAAAACTCTTGAGCTGCTTCACAAAGGCTGTGCTGGGCCAGATCCCCAGCTGGTGTAAATGGGCATTGCTTCATTGGAGTCGCTGGGGCCAGATCCCCAGCTGGTGTCAGTCAGCCCCACTCCATTGGCTTCAGTGCGGCTACACTGATCTACATCAGCTGGGCCTCTGGCCCCATCTGTGCTCATGCAGACATAGAGGGCTGAAGGTATGTGTGTTCCTGGCTCAGCACTTCAACCCAATCATGTGATTCTTCTCCTGCCTCACCTACTTTGGGGGCAGTGTTGTCTCAAGATTAGAGCAAGGCACTTGGGAGGCGGGACTCCTGGGTGCTAATTAAACCTCTGCTACTGCCTGCCATGTGACCTTGGGCAAGTTACTTCTCGGAGTAGCTCAGGTTTCTCCAGTGTAGGCCGCGGCAATGAAAGCCAGTTGACAGTGAGGTGGTGAGTCTGAATGAATTGTCTGTAAGGGGCTTTGAGATGCCTGGCTGGAAGGTGCTGTGTGAACAAAGTTAAGTTGCTTGCTTGCTTGCCGCAGTGTTCGCGCATGGTGGGTATTCTCTTTCCTTTGCCATTCCATGGCCGTTAACAGCTGGGATCCCACCAGCAACAGAGTGTTTTTGCATAAGATTCATAACACATCTGCCCTGCAGTTCACACCTGTAAAGTGTGTGTGTGTGGGGGGAGGGGGTTCCAGAGAGAGCGTAAAAGGGGGCTCTTGGCACTAGACTAGGCCTCAGGAGATCTGACTTCAGTTCTGGGCTCTGCCACAGACTCCCTGTGACCTTGGCCACGAAGCTGCTGGATGACCTTGGCCACTTCCCCTCTCTGTGCCTCCATTCCCCATCTGTACAATGGGGAGAACGCTCCTTCCCTGCCTCATAAGGAGGCTGGGAGGATAGTCATGAATCCAGATGCAACGCTGTGCTATAGTTATTTATATTGTTGTAGTGTCAAGAGACCCCCACTGAGACCAGGGCCACATTGGGCCAGGTGCTGCACAGACACAGGCCCTGCTTCAAAGGGATGGTAACAAAAGATGGGTGGGGAAACTGAGGCACAGAGTAGGGGCATGACTTGCCCAAGGTCATCCAGCAGCTTCGTGGCCGAGCTGGGAACATAACCCAGGCCTGCTGGGACGGGGGGCAGGGATGCCTGCTTCTTTAATTATGATGGGCTGGGTTAAGTGGAAGCAATATGCAGGTCTCCTGAGGCCTGGTCCAGTGCCCTCCCCACTGGACCACAAGGCCTCTAGATACTGCAGGAGCCAGTAAAAAGCCTACAATGAATCAAAAACAACACAAGTGGCTTTAGCCCATTATCCTTTGGGAGTTTGTTTTTCCTGAAGGGATTGAATTAAAGCCCCAACCCTTAAACCACTTTGAGATGTATTTAAACCAATGTGTTCCCAAGGTTTAGCCTCTCGCTCGCGTGCGCTAGTCCGGATTAAGCTTCCCTGTGATTTGTGACAGGTCAGGCTGTCTGGCTGGGTCCTTAATGCAGATAGTCCCTGTTTGGCTCTAACACATCCCTGCTTCTCCTGCTAACACGCCCACACCCCCAACACACCCCGTGCAACATCCTCTTTGACCTATTGCTCTCTCCCAGCTGCTAAGTGACTCCATATTCCCAACAGGAGCAAACCTTTTCACTGAAAGCAGGGGCACGTTTCCGGGTGTGGATAATCTCAGCCTCTTCAGACCGTCTGATCAGAGGGGGTGAAATTGCCAAGACCTCGAAGCAGCAAGCATTAGTCAGGGGCAAGAGTAGACCCCAGGAGTCCTGAACTCACGTGCTCGGGGGGAGCTCCCGTCTCCCCAGAAGATTATTACACTAACACACTGCCCCAGCCTTTGCTTTGCAAGCTCCTTTCCCAGAGACTGCCAGGAGGTGCGGGGGAGTGTGGGGGTGGTCTGCAAACCCGGTGTGTTTCACAGGAGCTGGCTTCTGGCAGGTAAATTCTCCAAGGGTCACTGATTTGCAGACTCTGCTCCATGTAAATTCTTATACCGTCATCCTAGTATCTGGGCATGCAGTAATGAGGGTGCGCTCCCTAAGCCTTTTGTTTGGCAGGGTTTGGGGAAAGGCTGAAGGCTGTGTTTGGTTGGGGAGGTGGAAAGGGTTTTGATTTATGGCCAGGTTTGTTAATTACTCCTCTGCATGTGATCACTTAATGAGCCTGGCGTAATGGTCCTGGATTCTGGAGGCACTCAGGTACCTGCTGACGTCTCATTGGCTTCACTGGCTCTTCAGCACATGCTTAAAGTTAAGTGTGTACTTTAAGTCTGGAGTTTTTTAACATTGCCTAAGAGATTTAGGCACTCAGCTGCCCTTGGAATCTAAATTCCCTTACGCTCCCCTGCCAATCCCATCTGTACATGCTTTGCTGACTAGGGATAAATTTAAGCACATGCTTAAACCCTTTGCTAAATTGGGGTCTTCTTTATAATGGGACTTGCAGCTGAATTAATTGCCAGCTTGCCCAAGGAGTCTGGATGCGATTTAAATCTAAACCAGTGATTTCTCAATTGAATGCATAGACTTGTGAATGCCTGGGAAGTAAAGAGACCCTTGCATTGTGTCGAAGTCCGGCCGAGTGGCTGGCAAGTGAGCTGAGGAGCAGTGGCCCAGCCAGCCAGAGGGACTGCCTTGCAGGAACCCTGCCAACCCCTAGCGTGAAATGTCAAGGAAGCATTAGCCAGAGGTTACAACCCTCGCCTCTTCCTGCTCCATCAGTGGCTCGGGAAGAGCCAGAGCGAGCGGCTTCCTGGCTTTGTGAGTGAGTGGATGCTGGCAAGGAAGAGCAGGGGCAGAGCCGGGGAGATGAGTAAATGCTGCCCTGATCAGGCGGAGTTGTGGTTCATTGCCTGGGGGAGGAGAGAGACCTGAGCCCTGCTCTGGGAGGAGGAGGTGGGCCCTGCTGCTTTAATTCTGAATGGCTGGGCTGAGTGAAAGCATCAGGCGGTTTTGCTCTGCAGGCTGGCTGTCAGTCCCCAGGCCTGGCATGGTACTTGGTGTACGCAAGCACGTGGGTGGGGCGTGCACCCTCACCTCCACTCTGCCCCTCAGTGTCTCCGGGGTTAAATCCCCAAGGCACATTATAGGAATCCTTATTGCTGGGGAGAGGGAAGAAAGCTCCTATGATCTCACCCTGCATAACTCCTCTCTGACACCCCCAGAAATCCTAGAGCCAAACCTGTGTCCCCGCAGGCCCCGCACGAGTAGCAAGCCCAGACCTGGGTGCACTCTGCAGTGAAGATGACAAGCCTTGAGCATCTGTCAACACCCACCCCTTCTCCCCCATCCGCCCGCTGACCCAGCTCATCTATGCCTCCCCCTTGGAGAGGAAGCGGCACGTCTGAAGGAAACCTGCTAGTGAGGTGGGGCATTGTCTGGGGGACTGAGCTTGACAGTAGGAGGCTGGGACTCCTGGCTTCTATCCCTTGTTCTACTGCAGATTCCCTTGGGCAGGTCATGGCGCCTCTCTGTGCCTCAGTTTCTCCAGATGCAAGGTGGGGACATCCTGGGGTACTGAGAGCAGGCGCAGAGCACCCGTTGCCTGCATGGAAGGCTCAAAACCAGGTGCTGTCTGCCTGAAGAATGAAACACTGGCTCTGGGCTCCGCTAACTTTGATTCTCTGCTTGGCAGCTTCCTCGAGGAAATTTCAGCTTCCGGGTTCCGCGGCCGGGGCGCCGAGAGCTCTCAAGTTACAGTGAGAGCGAGCAGCAGGCGGTGAACACTGGGGGACGCCGCCGCTTCCCATCTGGAGCTCCTACAGGCTGACCAGACGGCGTCGAAGCGGCGTCGAAGCGGCGCCGGGCGCTCCCGCGGTCCATCTTGCCATCCTGCTGCTAAGCAACACACAAGCTGGCCTCTGCCTCAACAGGCCAGGCCGGGCCCGAAATCCCAGCATCCTTGGCGTTACCTTCCTGCATGGCTCTTTAACGGGACGCAGCAGAAGAACTGCAGGGAGGTGGCGGAATCACAGATCCTGGGAAAACGTTACCTTTGGGTGCCCGGCGCCTTTGAAAATCCAGCTATTTCTGTGTCTCTTCATAACCACAACTGGCCTGCCCAGAATCTCCAGTTGCCTGCGTGTGTTGATCTCTCCAAGGTAAAGGCTGGATGGGCTCTCGCAGCCTCTGGCTCTATTTGTTTAATTGTCTGCAGCCCAGCTCCTCACCGATAACTTTCAGGGTCTAGGACTGTATGTTTGGAAGTTCATTAAACATCCCACTGTGACCAACTCTTATATTTTAAATGATTCCAGATATTTGTCCCCCTCCTTTTTATAATGTCCATGAAACTAGCTATATTCCTGACTGGCCCCATTCTTGAGCCCCTGCGTCCATGGGGGACAGAGCAGCACGGGCCCCTGTACTCCTTCCCCCCTTTCTGTTCCCGTGTTGTGATCGGGAAAAGTTCGTGTGACGCTAATAAAAATAAAATTCAGTTTTCTGGCAGAAACAACAGTTTTGGTTTTGTGATGGTTTGGGAAGAGTAGCCTGAATTATAACCCCAGGGCAGATGGCGGGGAGGAACATGCCAGAGTCCTGATCATAGGGCTGGCAGCCGGGCTATATCAAGTGCTAACTTTGGTCCTGACACATGCTCTGTGACCCCAAATGAGGAGTCACTTCTGTGCCTCGGTTTCCCCATTTGTAGAAGTGCGTGATAACTCCATTCCGGGCAGTGGATCACAGCAGCCTGACCCTGTGAGTTTGACAGTTGGGCAGTGGGGCCTATACTGGGACAGGATTTCCACCTCCCTGGTTATTCCGTGGCTTATGCCTCCAGTGCTGGAAGATGCCAAAAGCTCCATCCATTCTTCTCCGGGCTGCATTCTGCAGCCTTAGGCTGGGCTCAGGGGAAGAAACCGAACTTTGAGTGAGTTGGGAACAGAGTTCCAAGGCTCCAACTCCTTCCCCTCCAGATGCCCGGGCCAAAATCCTTAACGCTGTGAGTGCGGCAGCGTGGCTGGGGCTAGCCCATGGGATGGGAAATTGAGACCCTGGCTCCTACCTGCTTGCAGCCAGGCCTTGCAGTCCTGCCTCCTTTCATAGGAGTGAGCCTCTGAGATCCTGCTAAGTTAAATGGAGACTTTCCAGTGACCCAGCCACCATGTGATGCCCACGGGAAGGGAGCGTCCACATAGGCACTGTAGCTGCTTTGCCATGACCATCCTGCCCAGCAGAAACCTGCAATCCCTTGCCCCTTCGGGCTGTGACCTCTTTAGATCTCTTGGTCTTGAGGGGGTAGTGGGGAGGTTTGGAACATGTTAACTTCAGGCCTTGGGAGCCATGCAGGCCCCTGCTCTGGTTCCAGTACGTGGTTCCTAGAGACAGCTCCAGCTGTGAGGCTGAGATGCCAGCTCAAGCGTGTTGCATTCTGGGGAGAAGCTAATGCACCATGTCGGAACCAGAAAGGAGCCCACCGGCAGCTAGTGCCAAAGGAGATCCCATGACTATGTCCCTTGCTCTTTTATCTGCTGTCAGTTCAGGACCCTGCCCTGGCCTAGCAGAGGTTAGCTATAACCCAGCAGTGGTATCTGTTTTCCAAGGGAAGCCGTGGGATGATCAGATTTCTCCTTTGCAGCCAATGGAAGGTAGAGTCCAGCTGATGCAAGCTTGGATCTGCCCCTGTCCATAGGGGAATCCTGGGGCAGTTTGTTGGTATTCAGGTGCTGGAAATCTTTGTGCAAAGCAGTATGGGCTAGGGCTTGGAAGAGGGAACTGGAGTTCAGGACTCCTGGGTTCTGTTCCCAGCTCTAGGAAGGGAATGAGCTAGAGGCTAGAACTGGGAAGCTGGACTCCTAGAAGCTGGGGAATGGTCTAGCAGTTAGACTAGGGAAGCAGGAGTCTGGACTCCCGGGTTCTGTTCCCAGCTGTGGGAGGGGAGTGGGTTAGGGACTAGAAGTGGGAACGTGGGTTCTATTCCCAGCTCTGTTATCAAGCTGCTGCGTGACCTCAAGCATGTCTTTCTGTAGCTCACTTTCCTCACCTTGTAAAACAGAGAGAACACCTCTTAGCTACCGCATAGTGTCTGAGGAGTTATTAACATATTCTTATGGCACACCGAGGGTGTTAAGAGGGTTAACAGGGAAGTAGCAAAATTTGCAGACGACACAAAATTACTCAAGATAAGTCCAAAGCTGACTGCAGAGTTACAAAGGAATCTCAAAAAGAAAAGGAGTACTTGTGGCACTTTAGAGACTAACAAATTTATTTGAGCATAAGCTTTCGTGTAGCTCACGAAAGCTCCTGCTCAAATAAATTTGTTAGTCTCTAAAGTGCCACAAGTACTCCCTTTTTCTTTTTGCAGATACAGACTAACACGGCTGTGAAATTCTGAAACCTGTCAAAAGGAATCTCACTGAACTGGGGGACTGGGCAACAATTGGCAGATAAAATTTAGCATTGATAAATACAAAGTAACGCACATTTGGAAAACATAATCCCAGCTCTCCATACAAAGTGACGGGATCTAAATGAGCAGTTCCTGCTCAAGAGGGAGATGGTGGAGTCATTATGGATACTTCCCTGAAAACATCGACTCAAATGTGCAGCAGCAGGGGGAAAAGTGAACACTGTTAGGAACCACTAGGAAAGGGATAGATAATAAGACAGAAAATATCATCATGCCACTATATAAATCCACTGTACACACATCTTGAATACCGCGTGCAGTTCTGGTCATCCCATCTCAAAAAAAAAAATCTATATTAGAATTGGAAAAGGTGCGGAGAAGGGAAACAAAATGACGAGGGGGATTGGACAGCGTCCATCTGAGGAGAGATGAAAAAGACTGGGACTCTTCACCTTAGACGTGAGGTGAGTAAAAGAGGATGTGACCGGGGTCTATAAAGTCAAATCGCGTGGAGAGAAAGGGGTATTTACCCTTCACATAACACCAGAACCAGGGGTCACCTGGAAATGAAATGAATAGGCATCAGATTTAAAAACAAACATAAGGAAGTGTTTCTTCACACAATGCTCAGTCTACCTGTGGAACTTCTTGCCAGGAGATGTTGTGAAGGCCTAAAGTAATAACTGGGTCAAAAAAATAATAAGTTCCTGGAGGACAGGTCCATCAATGGCTATTAGCCAAGATGGTCAGGGATGCCATCCCATGCTCTGGGTGTCGCGAAACCTCCAACTTCCAGAAGCCTGGAGTGGATGACAAGGGATGAATCACTTGATAATTGCCCTGTTCTGTTCATTCCCTCTGAAGCATCTAGCACAGGCTACTGTTAGAAGAGAGGATATGGGGCTGGATGGCTATTGGTCTGACCTGCTGTGGCCATCCTTATGGTGTTTGAATTCATAACTGTCTGATTTAATTCCCCAAAGCAAGGACATTCGGATCCCAGATGTTCTCCAACCACCATGCAGCGCCTAAGAACCTATTGGGCGTATGTATGTATGTTGTAAAACGGCTCCATGGCACACATGAGAGCAGCAGCACTGGAAAAGGTGAGAGCTCCCATAACGTCCCCCGACTGCGGGTATCCTCCCTGTTCAACTTCTGGGTTACGAGCGGCGCCTTTCTCCCCTATCACTGGTTTAGTGGCAATGGGGAACTGGCACGATCTTTATCCCCAGGCATTGTTGAGGGTATTGCCTCTAGGAAGTCTATGCTGCTTAGGTTTCAGAGTAGCAGCCGGGTTAGTCTGTATCCACAAAAAGAACAGGAGGACTTGTGGCACCTTAGAGACTAATCCATTTATTTGAGCATAAGCTTTCGTGAGCTACAGCTCACTGCATCGGAAGCCATTCTGCAGAGCAAGAACACCGGGTGTTATCAGCCCATGGAGCTCAAAGGCAGGGATGCCAGTGTTGTTGGATCCAGTAGCGAGACAGACCGACGTCATGAAGCAAGATGTCCTGGCTAGATTAGGTTCAGCCAGGAGGCCACAACCGGAGTGGGCAGCTCCGCTCCAGAGCAAAGAGCTGCATTACCTGAAGCGACCGCAGAGGATTTGGTGCCGGGGATTCACTGCACTGACCCTACTGAAGCTGCAGCCAGCTACAGGCAGCTTCCTTCCCCTGCATTTGGGTATGCAATCTCCTCCCCAGGGGTTGGCAACTGTCGGCTTTTGGGGGTTAAACAAACCAGTTGGGCAATCTGCCAGACCGCCCACCCCAGCCCCGTATATTTGATCCATCTCACCCCTCCCCCCCCCCCCCAAAGAGTAATAACAGCTTGTGGGATCAGAACTCCCCCTGCCCCCTCCCCCTTTGCACCAGCTTCAATTAGAGCTAATACATGTAAGGTGGCCTCCTTTCTGCTTGAAGTGTCATGGTAAACAATCAGCTCAATTTAATCCGAAGCAAACATGGGCCTGGGGACCGGGGGGGGGAGGTGTGTGTGTGTGTGTGTGTGTGAGGGGGAGCATATTGTGCTTTGCATTTTGAGCAGTTTGATTCAAGCCTTGTACCTCAGGCTGTCTCACCTGGAAACCCTCCCTCCCGCCAGGGAATCCAGTCCCTTCCCCTAGGCCTCAGGCAGTCAGCCCGGCGCGCTATGGCATAGCACTCACCTGCAGGCAAAACAAATCGCTGTTCAAAACCAGGTAAACAGAAATGACATAGACAGGGCTTGTGATTTGTGCTGGGCCGGTGCCATCAGAGGCCCCTGCACAGCTGGGAGTGTAATTTCTCTTTCTAAGGACAGGATACTTTGCATTTGTCTCCAGACAGCGAGTTGTGATCTAATCCTTCCTGCCCTCTTCCTCTCCCACTGAGCTCGCTTGCTGTTGTTCCTGTTAAGGAAATTGAGGCACGGGGAGAGAGCCTAGAAAGGTGTCTAGCAGCTAAACTGACTTCATGATGGGGCAAGTCCTCTCTTGGTTTGGCCAACAGACCGAGGACTGAATTGGGGACCTCCACAGCTAAAAGCATCAGCTGCTACCCCTTGAGCTGAAGCATGGAGGCTGCCTGGCTGGCACCATAACAGGCTCATCTCCCAGGCAGAGAGGGGGGACCTTGCCCGTACACACCCGTGGGTTACTCTGCATGGGCCAGCTCTAGGGTGAAGCGAGCAATTCAGTCCCCATGCCCCATTCCCTCCTAGGGCTGTTGTTGGGTCTCGGTCCATCTCCCAGCAGACAATCACCCATCAAAGCCAGGCTACTAAAAGGCACCTTTGGCCAATTCCAACCTGGTCTAGTCTACAAGCCGCTCGCTGGAGCAGAAAGACACATGTCCCAGTCCCCGTCCCAGTCCCCCTCTTTTGCAAGGATTAAGCTGATGGGAATGCCGGGGGGGGGGGAATCAATCTGTGTTGCAGCAGCTAGTAATGAAGTCGCAGAGGGACCCCCCCCCCTGCCCCTAGTCTTTAGAAAACAAAATAATAGACACCACCTGCTCCTGCCTCTTCTGGGCTTTCCTCCTGAACAATTCCCAGGCTGCTAGGTGCAGGGCTGCTCTAGCTGGGGGCTATTTACACCATGCAAACCCCATCATTGCTCCAG